AATCAAAAGTGACGGTTTTATCCATAATTACTCCATAATCTAATTGTTTAATCATCATTGAGAATCTAATTCCACCGAAAGTTTCCAACATGTATGCAACTTTTTTTTGTCAAGATGTACAAGTGGGTTTATTAAAAATATGCTTTAATTTTAGGTTTTATATATATATATATATATATATATATATATATATATATATATATATATATATATATATATATATATATATATATATATATATATATATATAGAGAGAGAGAGAGAGAAAAAAAAAAAAGTTATGTTATATTGTTGATAACAAGTACTATGTAATAGTAAAAACCATTATGGACCAATAAAAAAAAAATGGAAGGATATGATTTAGAATGTATCATATTAAAATGGAAGTGTATCTACAATATAATATCACTAATATCATTTTAAGTGTATTTTAGTTGATTAAGTTATATTTAAAAAACGAAATTCTAAATTTTAAGGGATAATTCATTATTTCAATCAAATAAATATGATTTTAAAGGATAATTGCTCTCTTAATTCAGATTTTCCGACAGAATATGTTTATTAGTATGGTGTTAATTCTTAAAGAATATGTTTATGAATATGAAATTAATTTTTTTTCTTAAAAATGCATTATTGGAATAACATTATACACAAATACAATATTTAAACTAATAACATATCAAATAATGAGATTATACGAACTAGTTTATATCAAAACACTTAAATATCATAGAAATATTATCTGTTTCTGTTTTTCATTATTAAAGAATAAGATACAAAAATATTTTTAAAGTAAAATACATGAATGAAAATAAGATAAATAATGATGCAAATGCAATTTTGACAAATAATAACATCATTGCACCAGCACTTAAAAAATAACAACATTGTTAATGCAGATTGATTGAGATTCAAATGTCATTTTTGGAGACTAACAAAATTCGTGAACTATGATGTAAAAAGTATCACAATTTCGCATTCTTAAAGAATATGTAGATCTGTTTTGACAGAATTTGTGGATGTCCAACCCAAATCTTCATCAGTGTCTCTGTCTTAATTATTAGATAACTACCACACCTTTTTTTCATACAGCACCACAGTAAGAATCAACTATCATTTCTTTGATATTTTCTAATATTTCCCAAATTAGTTATATATTTTGGGGGAATTATATTAATATATAGAACCTAGTTGTTTTAATTAAAGATAAAATATACTTAAAATCAATGTTCTAAATAAACGTTAGGTGTAACTTGGCAGCAAAGTCAAACCTCAAGTTTTTACGAGCCATAGAAAATCACGTCGTTTGTAAGGTATGACTTAATAGGAAACGAGGTTGTTAAGGATGTTGTTGTTATCTCTTCGGAAAAGGATAGAACCCGAGTTCGTTGGGTGTTATGGCATATTGCTCGGCCGGATGTCACTACCCACTGCACCAAACCATCATTCAAAAAAAAGAAAGATAACTATTTTGTATATTAAAGCTTGGTGTCAAGTATAAGACTTGTAGCCATGACGAGCATTTTAGAACCTGGTTGAAATGTTTTCTATTTGATAATGATGGAGTGACCGGTGTTTTAATTCATTGGCTGAAATGTGCTAAAATATGTTATGTTTATGTTCCTTTGTTTCATCTGTTTTTTTAGCTTCTCGATCTTTTTCAAGTAATATATATAACTAGGCAAATGTTTGCGCGTTACGCAGAAGCATCTATATAACTGAAACTTTACAAATATATGTTTTTTTAAATATAACAATAATTTTGTTGTTAAATTTGATATAATAATTTGTATACTAAGTTGATATAGTATATTGATTATTTTGAGTTATATGATAATATATACATCTATTGAAACTGCATAATCTCAATCTTTTGAATAACCTCTACTTGCAGGTTAGTCATGAATAAAATTAAATATAATATATGGTTTAATACTATTTATAGTTGTTGTTATTGTTAATTCATTTTTAAAATTTATTTGTTAACGTTTTAATTTCTATCAGTCTAGTTATTTAAAACATCAAATAATTTTTTATTTTTATTTTAAAAGTAACAATATAATCATTTATATAGAGTTATTTTTAATTATTCTTATTGTAAGTTATTTTAAGCTACTTATTTCAAATCTTTTAATGATTATAAAAAAATCTTTACGAAATATTTTAGTGAATTGATATTACAATATAGTTTTTGCATTTAGCACTACAATTTATCATTTTTACTATTCACAAAAATATTCTTTGGGTTTTTTTAAGTGGAACTGAAATTTATATTGAAGTTGACCATGTAATGTTATATTTAAATTAACAATTTAAGTATTTTGTTCTACAGTTCAAAAGTTGTAGTTTTGAACTGATAATGGTTTACATACAACAACATATTAAATCTAATAAATTAAGTATAATATGTTAAAAGTTAAAGACATAACTTAATAAGTAGAACTAAAAATATTATTTTAATATTGAAATTTAGATTATTTTTTATTACACTTTAGGTTTGATACTTATTTATCTTTATTAACTAATTTATAATCATTATTAGAAAGACACTACAACTTATCATTTTTAACTATTTACAAAATATTATTTGGGTTGTTTAAGTTGAACTAAATTTTATATTTAAATTGATCTTGTAAGGTTATATTTGCATTAACAATTTAAGTATTTTATACAAATTTATCAAAAGTTATAGCTTTAAAATGATAATAGTTTACATACAACATATTAGATCTATTAAATTAAGTATAATATGTTAAAAGTTAAAAACAAACTTTATAAGTAGAAGAAAATATACTTTTTTAATATTGAAATTTAGTTAATATATAATTACACTTTAGGTTTTATGTTTATTTAACTTTATTAACCAACTTATAATAATTATTTGAAAGAAATTGAAAAGTCATGGGAGTTTCAAATGAATGTGGTGAAAGGAAAAATTGCATGGGATTTTCAAATGAATGTGGTTTAAGAAAAAATGCAAGTTTTATAAGTATACTAGGCGAATGTACGAACGTTGCGCAGAAACACCTATATAGTTGAAGTCTTTACAAATATATAATTTTTTAAATATAACAATAACGTTGTTGTTAAATTTGATATAATAATTTGTATATACTAAATGGATATAATATATTGTTTATTTTGAATTATATGATAATATATAAATTTATTATAACTTCATAATCTCAATCGTTTGAATGACTTTTACCCGCGAGTTACACATGAATAAAATTAAATATAATATATGATTTGATGTTGTTTATAGTTGTTTTTATTGTTAATTAGTTTTTTTTTAAATTTATTTGCTTAATGTTTTCATTTCTATCATTATAATTATTTAAAACATCAAACATTGTTTTTTTTTTATTTTAAAGATAACAATATAATCATTTATATAGATTTGTTTTTAACTATTGTTATTATAAGTTATTTTAAGCTACTTATTTGAAACTTTTAACGATTATAAAAATATATTTAAAAAGGATTTCAATTAAATTGAGATTACAATTTAGTTTTTGTTTTTATCACTACAATTTATCATTTTTAACTATTTACAAAATATTTTTTAGTTTTTTTTAAATGGAACTGAAATTTATATTTGAACTGACATTGTAATGCGTAGAAACACCTATATAATTAAAGTCTTTACAAATATATATTTTTTAAAATATAACACTAACATTTTTGTTAAATTTTAATTTGTATATTAATTTGACATAATATATTATTTTGAATTATATGATAATATATAAATCCATTATAACGTCATAATCTCAATTGTTTGAATGACTTCTACTCGCGAGTTACACATCAATGAAATTAAATATTATATGTGGTTTAATATTATTTGTATTTGTTATTTTTAACTAAGTTTTTAAAATTTATTTGCTTAATGTTTTAATTTATATCATTATAATTATTTAAAACATCAAACATATTTTTTTTGATTTTAAAGGTAACAATATAATCATTTATATAGAGTTATTTTTAACTATTGTTATTATAAGTTATTTTAAGCTACTTATTTGAAAATTGTTAACGATTATATAAATATATTTAGGAAATATTTTAGATAAACTGATATTACAATTTAGTTTTTACATTTATCACTTTTAACTATTTACAACATATTATTTGGTTTTTTTTAGTGGAACTGAAATTTATATTTAAGTTTATACTATAATGTTATATTTAAATCAATAATTTAAGTATTTTGTCCAAACTGTTCAAAAATTGTAACTTTAAACTTATAATGGTTTACATACAACAACATTTTAAATCTAATAAATTAAGTATAATATGTTAAAATTTAAAGATATAACTTTGTAAATAGAAGTAAATATATTATTTTAAAATTGAAATTTTGTCTATTTATGATTACACTTTAAGTTTGATATTTATTTTACCTTATTAACCAACTTACAATCATTATTAGAAAGACACTACAATTTATCACTTTTAACTATGTATAAAATAATCTTTGGACTGTTTAAGTTAAATAAAATTTATATTTAACTTGAGCCTATAATGCTATATTTTAATTAATAATTTAAGTATTTTATAAAAATTGTTCAAAAATTATACATTTAAAATGATAATGGTTTACATCCAACAATATATTAAAACTAATAAATTAAGTATAATATGTTAAAAGTTAAAAAAAAATATAATTTTATAAGTAGAATTAAAGATATTATTTTAATAATTGAAATTTAGTTTATATATGAACAGACTTTTGATTTGATATTTGCGTAACCTAATTAACAAATTATAACTATTATGATAAAGAAATTTGAAAAATCATGGGAGTTTCAAATGAATGTGGTGAAAGAAAAAAGAATAGGAATTTCAAATGCATGAGATTCAAGCATAAATGTTAGCTTTATAAGTATGTATGATAATGATGTTTGCCGTATTAAAAAAAAAAAAAAAAAAAAAAAAAATGAAATAGTTAATGGCTTTGGGATAACAAGATATTAACTTCCACCTTACAATTGCAAGTAACAAAGCACATCGACCTAAAGTGATATAGAAAACAAGTAACCAACTTTCCTAAAGTTTGCCTCAACTTTACACCTCCATTTCTCCAATCTCCATCCTTATATTCTCTCTTTCCCATTAAAATAAAATTCCTATCCATACACACGCTTGTATCTATACATCATACAGACAAAACACATACTTAACACACACACTAGTACATTGAAACACCCTATAAAACATAGTTTGGCAATCTCACAAGATCCCCCTTTCTGTCATTTTTCGTTCAAAGCAAACCAAAAACTTCATTGTTAAAACTTCAAGTTCATATAGGCCTAACTGAATTCTACATTTCTTTAGCGTTTAGAAGGAGTTCTAACCCTCTAATCGGTGGTGCTTCATACCCCAGAAGAACCCTCCAACAATAGTTGTACAAACTTATACTCAAACTTGCATGTTTCCATAAATGGCAACACGTTCATTTGTTTCTTGTTCTTGCTATGTAGCCTTCTTTTTCTTGACGATCTCTAAAGGTAAGCAATTTTTATTTTTATTTTACTAATTTGGGTTCAATGAATCTTAACGCAACTTCAACGTTTCCAAATTAAGTTCAAACATTAATCTTACAATTTGTTAAAAGATTATAGAGAAACAAAATTTTCACCCTATTTTCAAACGAACCCTTGATATTATGTACGTTAGTATCGACGGGGATGCATGATCATTCGTGCAATGAAAATACTAAGCATACAACAACAGTTTGAAAAGACATTTATATCATGTATCATGTAGTTATGGTGTAATCTTATCAAAATGGTTGTAACTTGTAACTAAATTTTTTATTATACATTAAATGTTTCAAGTTTGAAACTTGCATTTATGGGTTGTTTGTAAATCACTAGGGATGGATCTGGTGACTGCAGCGCAAGCTTCCATCCCTTGATATATTCACAATCAGATCGGATTCTCAAGTCATGAAAAAGGTGTAGTCACGTGAACTCTTTGGAGTTTAACTATAGAAAACATTTCTTTCGTACTCCACAATGGATACATGCAAAAATGAATGTTTCTAACTTATAGATATAAGTTAGAAATAGTGAAATGAAAATATGAAATAACATGGTTATGAGTAAATTGTTGTGAAATTAACATTTGAAGAATCTCTAATTACATTTTTTTTTCTATTGATTTTGTAATTTCAGGAATATTGGGAAGTACATTCACTTTTAAAAATAGGTGTGATTACATGGTTTGGCCCGGGATATTATCAAGTGCGGGCAGTACACCATTAGATAGCACGGGGTTCGAACTCAGCCCGGGTGAGTCACGGTCCTTACAAGCGTCACCCGGTTGGTCAGGTCGATTTTGGGGTAGAACCGGTTGCACCTTTGACTCAAATGGTCAAGGAAGTTGTGCAACCGCTGACTGTGGCTCCAATCAAATGTCATGTAATGGGGCCGGAGCGACCCCACCTGCAACCTTAGCCGAGTTCACAATCGGATCAGTATCAGGATCAGTATCAGGGTCAAGCACGCTAGATTTCTATGATGTAAGCCTAGTGGATGGGTACAATTTACCTATGGCAGTTGATGCTAGTGGTGGATCGGGCGCATGCGGTACAACAGGGTGTGTGACCGATTTGAACCGAATGTGTCCACCCGAATTAAGAGTAGGAAATGGACAAGCTTGCAAAAGTGCATGTGAGGCTTTTGGGAATGAGGAATATTGTTGTAGCGGATCATTTGGATCACCCGATACTTGTCGCCCATCAGTGTATTCCGAAATATTTAAATCGGCATGTCCAAGATCGTATAGCTATGCGTATGATGATGCCACTAGTACGTTTACATGCATGGGAGCGGATTATACAATTACTTTTTGCCCCACATCAACAAGGTAAAATCATATCATTTATTCATTTATATATGTTCGTTAATTTGAGTAAACTTACATAACAAAGAAGTAAATAACATGATTTTAATTAATGTTATAGATATATGATTGATGGATTTTTTATTTTATTTTTTTGTTATTTTCAGTCGAAAGTCTTCAACCGATCCATCAACGGGAACGACAACAAATTCACCACCGATGATTCCAAGAGCACCCGTTCTCGAAGATGAACCAAACGGTTCATCATGGTTGCCAAGTTTCACCATTGGAGGATCAACAAGACAAATTCCCGATAATGCCCTTGCATTGATACTAATTTCTTTTATTGTCCTTCATTTTTTCCAATTATAAAAAAGAAAATATATAAAAAAATTGAATTGTAATCATTTGAGCAATTTTGTATAGAAAAGTTCTACAATTGCTTGACCGCATTCAGGAATATATAAATATAATATTATTTAATTTGTTTTTCAAAAATGAGCATTATGTTTCTGTTTTTCGTTTTACTTCCCATCGACTGCCGTACATAGTTAATGCTTTATTATTTTTGGTGATCGATAATGAATGCAAAAATAAGTTTTTTGGAAGTCTTGAATGTAATTTATTTTTATGTTTGCAAAAACGTCAAGTTCTATATATTTTTTTCTGCAAGTTTATTTGAGTTATATTTATTGTAAACTTGTTTAATAATAAAAGTTAGTCAAAAAGCCAGCCAAAAAACGGAAAGTTGTTAAAAATTTATTTAAAGATACAAAATTCTATTGTCATGGGTAAACTCCTCTCCAGCTAACTCACATTGAATTATTTGTTTTCATCCATTATGCCACGTTGGTTTTAGTTGGCATTAAAAAGCGAATAAGTATAGTATACTATTCTATAATCTATAGTGATAGTTGAATCTTAAAAATTGACCATTACACATCGTAAATATTAACTATCAAAAATCATAAAATTACAAACCTTGGTTCCAGTTTGGGAATGATTTCGGTTTTAAAAACAATTATTCGGTCCCAAAATTCTCTCCTATTAATCATCTTTCTGGCAAAAGGCATTTTAAATATATTATGAATTATATCAAACATTAAGTTTTATTATAAATAAGTACATTTACAGATCCAAGAGGTGTATGAATAATTTAAAATGTAAGATATCGTAATCAAGATTCTATGAATTTTAATTCGGTGGAAGGTCGGTGACAATCCAACTGCTTGCTTTGTTTAAAAATGAAGCAAATATTACTGGTTTTGTTATAATATTCTCACTTTCCTTTAAATGATTTAAAGGTCATCGTATTCAAGAATAATAGTTGTTTACTTCATCTTGGGTTGCAATTTATCATAAGAAATATATAAAGTAGTTTTTGTTTTTGGTGCTGGTAAAGTACATAATACATCATTTTATGTCATATTTTGAAGATAAACGTTTGAACTTTATATTTATAAAATTAAAAGTTGGTATGACATTAACTTAAGTAAAATATTCGGCAGTTGGTGAGTGTGCAAGGGAGGGCCCGTGTTGCTACTTGCTCGAATTCTATTATTCTAACATAAGTTAATATATATAAAAATAGTATATTGTCGCTTTTAGTTACTAAACAACGATAAGGATCTTACTACCATCGCATAAAGTACATTATAAATATTTAATTTAATTTAAGGTATAGTCTCTTAAAATGACAATTAATATTATTTGTTAGGTCAATTATTTTGTAATTACACGGATCAATCATCTTATTTTAGGTTTTTATTAATATAGTGGATTTCATGGTGAAAAATTTTCATATTGGTTTATAGACTGAATGTAATATCAGCAACAGAAACGTTAAATAGACATAAGTGAACAAATAATGGCATACGGGATTAGACAATGAATGTAATGTAAGATGTAATATCAGTTTACCCGGGTGTCACTTTACCGACCAAAATTAATATAATTAATGAACACTCAAAGATAAATCCTCCATATCTCTTAGGAATCACTTGGTGAGTCGGATTCTGAATTTTCATCATCGTGATTATTAACCACCCAAGGTGCCATGGTTTACAATTTGGTATGTGTGAAAGATAAGTTTTTGATAAATATTCAACTTGTTCAATTTAAGTTTAAGAAGATAAGGGAACAGCCAAGGACATGAGGCAGATTGTATGAAATAACAATATAATTACTAGTCATATCATTTAGCTCATTTTTTGGAATGCATGAAAGCCCACACCATGTTCACATCTTACACCATGATCAATTGTTTAAAAAAAAAAAGTAAATGAACATTTTAGTTGTCAACCCAATATTAGGGAGGACTTGGGCATGGCATGGTCCTCCAATATATCTAACATATTTAAGTATAAATACCCTATTTGTTTTCCCATTTCTCTCTAATGCTTTTATATATATATATATATATATATATATATATATATATATATATATATATATATATATATATATATATATATATATATATATAAGCATCAGAGAGAAATAGGGAAACAAATTTGGAGGCAAAAGGAGAATTTTAAACGAAACTTTATTAATTTTCTAGACAACATCTTCGTTAAGTCTCTTCCCCAACAGTTGATATCATCATATTAAATGAAAAAGTGACTTCTAAGTTCCGATTTCTTATGTATCCATATTCTTGTTTCTTAGTTTTTTAGTTAGGTTCTCAATCAAAATTCGAAATTGAAATCGAAATCATCATATTAATTGTTATTGATTTTTCAATGCAACCAATTTTGATTATGTTTTTCCTGTCCCAACCCCACTACAAGCTTAAATTAACCGAAACGAAACATCTATTAGCAACTAAATATTTTTAATCCGATTCAACAAGATTAAGTCTTGGAAATTTTTGTAGGTTCAGGTCCACAATCCACACAACACTCATCGTATGTATATGAAATTAAAGTTGCAATAGATAGAAAGAGATGGAGAAGTTTTATAGTTTTCTTATTATCTGATATGCCAAAAGAGAAAATATTGCACCTATTTAACATATACCAGATAACAGAAAAAGCTAAAAGATACCGAAATATGTGAGACTAATCAGGTGGCTACTAAGCCACGTTATTTTCTCCAAACTAGGTCAACTAAAGACCAGGTTTTCTGTTCATCTAAGTTTATTCGATGACATGTCATCTACGACCTTCTTGTTCGTTAACCCATTAAACAAATCGATTAACCAAACACTCACCCTCTTAATCGGTTTGTCCACGCCATTCACTCACACCAACAATAAATCACCCTTAAAACAACTTACACCTCAAACCATATCGACCATTCTCAGACACTCGACCTCTACCTCCACCTCGGTCACGTCCAAAGTCCTTTTTTGTTGTTGGTATTGTTCCTAACTTGATTCTTTTTTCTCGTAAAGTACCAACAGATCACACATATCTTCTTTTCTTTCTTCAACCTGCCCACACACACTTGCAGGTGCACACAGTTCTTATCTTCTGATCACATAGATCTATTTTCTTCTTACATTAACTTGCTTTTCCACACATGCTATCTTCACCTCACAGGTTTCTAATCTTCTTGGTTTACCCATAACTTGGATTCAACACACACACAACCCTTTCTTTTAACTCACACTAATTAATCTCCAAAACTCTATCACATAGATAATTCTAATCACATAGATTTTCATGTTTTGAACTCGGCTCACACAGAACCTTATTGAAGTGCAACTAGTTCACTTAGAACCTCTTCTAAATCTCCCATGATTTGAACCATCACCCACGTCGTCTCGAACATTGCTCCCCATAAACCTACAGTTTACTACTCCCCGCAAGAAAATCACTATCAAATAATCATGCTTCCTTTGCAATGGCTGCAATGGCAACCTCGCACACGCTCCCTTTCAAAATTTGACTCTCAAACCGGACCTCTTCAACCTTTGCTCTGATACCAAATGTAGGTTTAGGTTACATATGAAGGGTTTTGAGCATTCTAACACTCCTATGGTGTACATGCAACCCTAAATACCTTGGATCTATGTTTTCTCTATTATACATGCAAACTTGAACTTTCCAATGTATTACCCTAACTAGCATACAATCTTTGATACGTGGGTAATATAAACAAGTTATAAGACATACCTTTTGATGAAGCGTGAAATCTTGATCTTTAAGAGCTTAGCCCAATAGTGTGGAAGCCTCAAGTGGAAGCACAAATCACCAAAACCACCTTGGAAAACTTGAGAGAATAGTAAGCACACTAGAAATTAGCCCACTCTTGTATCCTCACACACTAGTTCCATTTCTTATGCCAAAGACCTCTTTATATAGTATGGAGGATTAGGGTTTCATCCATGTAAACCCTAATACCCATGCCCTTTCATTTCCATAGGATCCATGGGTTAAAAATTCCATGGACTATCCAAGCAAGCTTAGCCCAACCTAAATGAACTTGGCCCATACTATATATAAAGTCCCTATTTAATTAGTTCCTTTTGATCACTAAATTAATTCTTGATCACTACTAATTAAATAATATGATTCCATATTAATATATTAAAACTTATTATATATTAATATAAATCATAAACATATTATTCTCAAAAGACTATCCATATAAATTGTTCAGGTGAAGTGCAACCCAAATGAACCATGCCAAATCGGGTCAAGTACATACCAATTATAGTTATGGGTTTAGACACTAATCCAACAACATACTCCACATAACACTCATGTATGTATATGAAACCAAAGTTGCAACAGGCAGAAGGAGATGGAGAAGTTTTCTAGTTTTTTTTATTATCTAATACATTAACAGAGAAAATTCACACCTATTTAACATACACCAAAAAAAACTAGAAGATAGCAAAACATGTGAGACCAATCAAGTAGCTACTAAACCACGTTATTTTATCCAAACTTGGTCAACTAAAGACCAGGTTTTCTGTTGATACGAATCTATCCAATGACACATGATCCACAACCCGCCCGCATGTTAACCCGTTAAACAAACAGATTAATTCAACAATTTGTGCTTAAAAGAACTTTCTTCGAGACACAAATCTTTCCAAAACATAATGTTTTACCCGTTTCTTGTCTTTTTTCTTGAATACTTTTATGAGATCTACCACAAATTCCTCCATATTCTTATGTTATAAATATTAAGTCAAACACCAAGATTAGATTTTTAGCCATTGAACAATGGAAAATCGACAAAAAAAAGTCTCAATATTTTGAGCTATGGTGGAATGTCAATTCCACCAAGCAAATTACACCCTTTGTTTGCAAATAAAACGTAATATAATGGTAAAAAGGGGTATCGATCCTCGGGGAAATGGTTGTATTCAATCACCAATGAAATCCAATAGAACTAGTGTTAATAAACTAACTAACTACAATTAAACTAAAAGGGGGGTGTTGTGATTGCTTGAAAACTAAAAGACTTGAATAACTAAAAAACTTGCAATTAAACAAGATGATGAG